GGTCTAATAAACCATCTTCAGGACATATTCATTATTTATTAGACCGAAACGTCCGACGTTGACATATTAACATTAAAACAGCATAATTGTATATAAGGACTTTTGTTTGTTTTTTCCGTATATATTTTTCTTCATATATATATATATATATATATATATATATATATATATATATAAGTCCATATATATATATATATATATATATATATATGTATATATAAGCATCCGAAACAGACTCTTTAGATGTATCACAGTTATTCAGTGTGGATAGATGTCCGATAGTTTCAAGCCGAGATCAAAACCCGACTGATTTGATATCAGTCAGAGCTCGTACCTCTAGACCATCGTCGAAGGCCACCAGTTGAGATGCAGCCGCATCGAAACAAGAATGCATCTTTGTAGTGAGCAAGTTGTTTTTGTCCGTATGTATAAATTATAATAAATAACTATTGCTCAACTCTTGGAGTTGAGCCCTCTTTTGAATTAATGCTGTGAACTTTAGAATTTATATTATTTTCATTTTCCCATTGCATTCGTATTTATATATATATATATATATATATATATATATATATATATAAATAAAAATACAGTTTTCCTATTGTCATCTATATTTATAATATTGTCTTTTCTACAGTTTAACTCTGAAATTTTCATATATTTTCATATATATATATATATATATATATATATACATATAACATGTTTACAAATGCTAATAAATATTGATAAGCTCTACTCTGCATTGAGCACTTTTTAAAAATATAATGTTTGGACACTGGAATAAACTACCTAACACTTGGACATATATATATATATATATATATATATATATAAGATTAGGTAAATGAAATAACATGATATTAGCGACCGTATACGCGCGTGATGGCGTGCATACGTTGGTAAACAAATAAAAATATTACCAAATTTAGCTAAGAGGTGTAGACATAATAGTGCTCAATGTGATTAGACAAAGCAAAGAAATATATATTGATAAATACACATATACCTACGTTTAGTGTGCGACTTAAGTCTCCTTGCTTATCCAACTGGTCGGGCGCAAGATATAGGTTATTGTTTATTAAAAAAAAAAACTATTCAGATGTATAGAGTATGGACGCTGAATCATAGTTCAAAATTAAAATAAAACAAAAATAGTAATGAAGCAATACTGTGGTTTCAGTGCAAGAAATGAGGTGTAGGTATGAATCACTAATAAAAAAGGAAAAAATGTAATTGAAGTATGTTGTTCGTAAGACTAGGTAAAGGGAGGTAATCGGTGTATGACCTAAAATAAGAGCGGGCGGAAAATTAAAATCTGATATTAAATTTAGACGAAAAGTGGGTTATCCAGGATTAAATTTAATTTCAAATTTTAATTTGTATACTTTTTAAATAAACAATAAGCTGTGCCCGGCGAGTTGGGTGACCAACGAAACTTAAGTCGCACACCAGACTTAGGTACATGTGTATTTATTAATATATATATATATATATATATATATATATATATATATATATAATTAGTTCGTTTGTTAAGGTTTAGTTTAATTTTATAAAATTCTCTATATATACAGTGGAGGGAAATATATATTCATACAAATTTTTATTATATTGTATTTCCAACTAATGAATAAATATTTTCATATAATTAACTGTATACAGATGCATAATACTTTAATATGAACAGAAAATAGAAAAAATTGTTTTAATAGAAATAAATGCCATTCATCCATTTTAATTGATGAAAAAAGTATTCGTACAATACAAAAGAAAATATATAATCTTCATTTAATAATTTCTAGAAAAACTATTATTCCCTTCTACAGCAACCAACCTATTCTTGTAGTTCTCAATTAATAATTTGCAAATTTTTGTTGGTATTTTGTTCTATTCTTCTTCATATATGGTCTTCAGATCCGCGATGTATGTTGGAACTCTCAATTGGATTTGAATTTTCAAATAATGCCACAGATTCTCGATTGTGTTTAAACCTGGGGACTGACTTAACCATTTTAGGATATTTACATTATTTTCAGCAATGCCATTTCTTTGTAGATTTTGCAGAGTGCTTAGGATCATTATCTTGTTGGATGATCTAATCAGGAGGAAGTTCAAGATTTTCAACCGAAATCATTAAATTTGCTTCCAAATTATTTTGATATGCATTCATTCTACCATCTCTTATTGATATGTTGCCAGCATCTTTTGCAGAAAAAAAATCCTCAAACCATGTTGCCACCACCAAATTTCACTGTTGGAAACAGTGTTAATTCTTTGAAGGCATTGCTATCTTTCCTCCATGCATGATTTCTAGAATTACGTCCAAAAAACTTAATTTTGGTTTCGTTTGTCCATAATATTCTTTCCCAATACGATTTTTCCTTAAACTTATACTCACAAATGAATTTCAACTTGGCATCTCTGCGTTTTTTCAATAGCAGTGGAGTTTTTCGAGGGGAGCGTGACTTTAGATTATTCCTATGAATTTCATTGTTTATTGTCCGTTAAGTAACACAAATTCTCGATGAGAGCAAATCATCCTGCAACTCTTGACGAGTAACCATTAGATTTTGTTTAATTTGACGCATGAATTTTCTGGAAAGATCTTGTAATCTTCCGTGAAGCACCAGTTCTTTGGTTTTCAATAGTTTTGAATCTTTTATACCTTTCAATGAAAGAACTAATAGCAGTCAATTGAATATGCAGGTTTTCTGAGATTTTCCTGCAATTTTTACCTTCTTTCCAGGGCTTAACCATAAGTTCCTTTTTGCGAATTTGTCAATTCTTCACGTCTTGCCATGATGATAACCTTCTTGCACGAATATCAATTACAGAATATTCTGTTTGTATATTTTAGGCTAAGAATGACTGCTGACAACATTATTGGGACATTCTAGAGTATTCCACTTTAATAATCTAGAGTATTAAAGGTTTTAAATTTAAAAGTTAATAATCTAGAGTATTAAAAGTTTTAAATTTAAAAGTTATAAAATCTGAAATTTGCATTGTACGAATACTTCTTTCACCCATTAAAATGGGTTAATGGGATTTATTTCTATTAAATCAATTTTTCTGTTTTCTATGCATATTTACTTATAATGTATCTGTGTACAGTTAATTATATGAAAAGTATGTTTATTGGAAATACAATAAATTAAAAACGATTATTTGTTTTCCACCACCACACTGTATATACAGGGTGTATCAAAAATACTTCTACAAAATTTGGGAGCGTCTTCCTCACGTCAAAACATGGTAAACAGTTCAAAATTTGGTTTCGATCGATCAGTATTTTGCTAGAGGGTGTGATAATCGGACGAACTAAAGAATGTTACAAAATTTTGTATGTAGAATTTGTAGGGTTTAGAGTTTTTCCTTGCATTAAGTGCTGCAGAGTTTATGGCTATCTATTAACTTTCTTCACAACTTCTAACAAAATCCTCAACACATCCGAAAACTGGAAAAATATAATAAAACATTAAACAGAAAAACCTTGTTAGTTATTTTTAATCATACATGTTTGGATGAATACTTGTTGCCTAAATATACCTTATATATGTGAATATATATATTGCCTAGTGCATGAAACTTCCGATTCGTACTCTTGCTATGGGGTATTATATATATATATATATATATATATATATACAGTGTATCACAAAAGTGAGTACACCCCTCACATTTCTTCAAATATTTAAGTATATCTCTTCATGGGACAGCACTGAAAAAAATACCTTTTGACACAATGAAAAGTAGTCTTTTGTGATACACTGTATATATATATATATATATATATATATATATATATATATATATATATTGTGTGTATTTAGATAGTAATCCTTCTTTTTTATATGTTTCGTTAAAGACCACTGACAAAGTACTGAGATTAATCTTTTTATTTAATTTTTCCTCTGTTCGTACAATTTTTTTTTCCGGACACAATGTGTGTAAAAACTGTTTAAATGTTCTGCATTTCCAAAAGCTTTCTGCTATACTTTTAGCCATTATCAAATGATGATTTTATTTTTACATTTTAACTAGATGTATGGGTTATGACCGTGTTCTTAGTTAATGTTATTGATTTCTGGCTTTTTTTATTCTTAGGGCTTCCATTATTCTTAATAAACAGAGGAATTAAGAATACATCCCTACCCCTTACCAAAACTGATACATCAAAATACAGACACAATGAACACGCAAACACCCCTCGTCTGGTTGAAATGAATTTCTCTGTTTCCTTGGAAACGTAAATTATGATTTTTGTATTGTATTTTGCTGTGTATTTAAAACCCAGTAATTTTATAAGTTATTCCAAAATTCGCTTGAGGATGAAATGGAACTAATGTCTTTAATTTAATTACAAAATTAAATTCGAAGCTTTTAGCTTCCATTTTCGAAACATGGTTAGAACTGTGTAGCGAAAAAAAACATATTTTAAATCAATTAATTTATAATATTAATGCTCTGTAAATTTACATTGAGCACTATTTTGTAAAAATAAAAATATCTATAAGAACACCGGATCATATATCTTACTGTTCTTTCTTTTTATTTATTATATACATACATACATACATACATATATATATATATATATATATATATATATATATATATATATATATATATATATATATATATAGATATGGCGCATATCTTACATAGAAAAGTAGGTAAATATTACCATATTAATCTATATATGCTAATTTTTCAATTGTTATGTAAAATATTCGTTACTTGATTCTCCCACGACGCCGATTGTTATTTTTTTTTATTTCTTTATTACAAGGCAAGTGTTTCAACACGTGAGTTGATGATCTTTGCCACAGGTGTCAAATAATCGAAGATTGGTTTTGAAACAACTCCTTTTTTTATTTATTTATAATCGAAGTCGGTGTCTCCATTTCTCCAATATAAAAAAAAGTACTCAATATTTTCCCACCCGTTTGCCGCCTTCTTTCCTCCCACGAATCACCGACAAACGGGCGAATTAG